TGGCAAAGGAGGATGAACATCAGGTGCACTCAAAAGAAAAAGAGCTATTGTATATATGTAACTTTAATTTTTATAAACCTAATGGTAACTACACACAAAAATCTCCAAACCAGGACACACAGCTTAAAAAAGAGAACAGAGAGGAAAGAAGTATGAAACACTACCAAATAAAAACAACATACAGAAGTACAAAGGAAAAGAACCAATAGAGGCACAGAGCTACCAGAAAACAAAAGATAAAATGGCTACAGGAAATCCTCATTCATCAATAACTACCCTGAATGTAAATGGTCTGAATTCACCAATAAAGAGACACAGAGTAGCAGAGTGGATCAAAAAACAAAACCCAGCCTGGCCAGGCATGGCTTAGCTGTTGAGCGTCGACCTAGGATCCAGGTGATCAGGGTTCAATTCCCGGTCAGGGGACATGCCCGAGTTGCGGGTTTTGATCCCCAGTTGAGGGCATGCAGGAGGCAGCCCATCAATGATTCTCTCATCATTGATGTTTCTATCTCTCTCTCTCCCTCTCCTTTCCTCTCTCTGAAATCAATAAGGATATATTAAAAAAACCAAAAAAACAAAACCAACCATATGCTGCCTACGAGAGACACATCTAAGCTGCAAAGACAAAGGTAGATTCAAAGTAAAAGGGTGGAAAATGATTCTCCAAGCAAATAACAGCCACTGAAAAGCAGGTGTAGCCATGCTTACATCTGACAAAATAGACTGCAAGATAATAAATATAACAAGAAACAAAGACGGACACTTGATAAAAGGGACACTACATCAAGAAAACATAACACTTCTTAATATAGATGCACCCAACCATGGAACACCAAAATATATAAAGCAGCTACTCACAGAAACAAAGGGAGAAACAGATCAAAACACAATCACACTTGGGGATCTTAATACTCCATGGACAGCTCTAGGCAGATCAACCAAACAGAAAATCAATAAAGAAATATTGGCCTTAAATGAAACACTACACCAAATGGACATAATTGACATTTACAGAGCTTTCATCTTAGAACATCAGATTATACATTCTTCTCCAGTGTACATGGAATATTCTCAAGGATAGACCATATGTTGAGTCACAAAACTAGCATCAACAAATTCAAGAAGAATGAAATTACACCAGTATATTCTCTGACCACGATGCCTTGAAATTAGAAATCAACTGCAAGAAGGAAGTAAAGAAACCCACAAATACAAGGAAATTAAACAATATACTACTAAAAAATGACTAGGTCAAAGTAGAAGTAAAAGATAAGATTAAAAGATATAGAAAGGCAAATGAGAATGACAATACAACATATCAAAATTTCTGGGATGCAGCAAAAGCAGTAAAAAGAGGGAAGTTTATATCATTACAGGCCTATCTCAAGAAACAAGAGAAATCCCAAGTAAACAGCCTAACATCAGATCTTAACTAGAAAAAGAAGAATAAAAGCAACCCAAAGTCAGCAGAAGAAAGGAAATCATAAAAATTAGAGCAGAACTGAATGAAATAGAGAACAAAAAGACTATACAAAAAAGTAATAAAACAAAGAGCTGGTTCTTTGAAAATATTAATAAAATTGACAAACCCCTGGCTAGACTCACTAAGGAAAAAAGGGAAAACACCCTTTTATAAACAAAACAAAAAATGAGAGAGAAGTCACCACAGACATCACAGATATACAAAGGATCATATTAGAATATTAGGAAAGGCTATATGCCACCAAATTCAATAACCTGGAAGAAATGAACAATTTCCTAGGAATATATAACCTTTCTAGACTAAATCATGAAGAACTGGAAAACCTAAATAGACCGATCAGCAGGGAGGAAATTGAAACCACCATCAAAAACCTCCCAAAAAATAAAGGTTCAGGACCAGATGGCTTTACCAGTGAATTCTACCAAATGTGCAAGGAAGATTTAAAACCTATCCTTCTGAAACTCTTCCAAAACATTGAAGAAGAGGCAATACTTCCTAACACATTTTATGAGGCCAATATAACCCTGATACCAAAACCTGGCAAAGATAACAAACACACAAAAAACTACAGACCAATATCTGTGATGAATACAGATATAAAAATCCTAAACAAAATACAAGCAAACCAAATACAGCAGTACATGAGAAAAATAATACATCACGATCAGGTGGGGTTAATTCCAGGGGCACAAGGGTGGTTCAACAACAGTAAATCAATCAATGTAATATACCACATTAACAAAAGAAAGGCTAAAAATCATATATTATAAATAGATGCAGAAAAAGCATCTGATAAGATACAACACCCATTTATGATTAAAACATTCAATAAAATAGAAATAGAAGGAACATACCTTAACATAATAAAGGCTATATATGATAAACCCTCAGCTAATATCATAGTGGTGAAAAACTGAAAGCTTAGGTACCAAACTGATAGACCTTGGTCATAGAGAACATTTTATGAACTTGATCTCAAACGCAAGGGAAGTAAAGGCAAAAATAAATGAATGGGACTATATCAAACCAAAAAGCTTCTGCACAGCAAAAGAAACTGACAACAAAACAATCAGGCAGCCAAACAGATGGGAGATGATATTTGCAAACAGTAGCTCTGACAAAGGTTTACTTTTCAAAATATATAAAGAACTCAAAAACTCAACACCAAACAACAAACCCAATCAAAAAGTGGGCAGAGGACCTGAACAGGCAGCTCTCCCAAGAAGACATATAAACAGTCAATAGATATATGAAAAGATGTTCAACCTTACCAGCAATTAGGGAAATGCAAATCAAAACTACAACAAGCCTGGCCGGCATGGCTCAGTGGTTGAGCATCGACCTATGATCCAGGAGATCGCAGTTCCATTCCCAGCCATGCCCAGGTTGCAGGCTTGATCCCCAGTGGGGGCATGCAGGAGGCAGTCAGTCGATCAATGACTCTAATCATTAATGTTTCTCTCTCTCTCTCTCCCTCTCCCTTTCTTTCTCTGAAATCAATAAAGGTATATTTTAAAAAAACCCACAAAACTACAATGAGATACCACCTCACACTTGTTAGAGTGGCAATTATCAACAAGATAAGCAATAAAAAGTGTTGGAGAGGTTGTGGAGAAAAGGGAACCCTCATTCACTGCTGGTGGGAATGTAGTACACTGCTTGTACTACTATGAAAAGCAGTCTGGCGGTTCCTCAAAAAATGAAAAATAGGGCTACCATATGATCCAGCAATCCCTCTCCTGGGTATATACCCAAAAAACTCAAAAACATGTATTCATAAAGATATATGCACCCCTATGTTCACTGCAGCATTATTCATGGTGGCCAAGACATGGAAACAACAAAAGCTTCCTGTGATAGAGGACTGGATAAAGATGATGTGGTACATGTGCCCAATGGAATACTACTCAGCCATAAGAAAGGATGAAATACTACCATTTGCAACATGGATGGACCTTGAGAATATTGTGCTAAGTGAAATAAGTCAGTCAGAAAAAGCTATGAACCATATGACCTCACTCATATGTGGGATATAAAACTGAAACTTGTGGCCACTAATAGCAGTGTGGTGGTTGCCAGGGGGGGAAGGGGGTGGGCGGTGAAGGGGGTCTTAATATATGGAGATGGAAGAAGGTATGACTTTGGGTGGTGGGCACACCGAGCAATATACAGCTCTTGTAACATAGAAGCCCTCATCTGAAATCTGTATGTTCATATTAACTGTTGTCACCCTAATAAAATTTAATTTAAAAAAAGTAAGAAAAAAAATAGGATTGATGAAAGGTGGTGCTTATGGTTCTTTCTATAAGAGGCTGAGCTTTAGGACTTGAATAAGGATTTGAATTCTCTACTGTTGGAATTAACACTTTTTACATAAATATAACTTGGTGTAACATCTAATTGACTATTTGCATTTCATTAATTTAAAGTAGGGAAATAACCTTATTGCATTATTTTAGGAATGCTTTCTTAAGAAAATTTCTTTTGCTTCTGAATGGTTCTGCTGATTCTTTTTATTAAAAAGCGGAATTAGCAAAACATGGGGCTTAATAGGAACTGAAAACTCTCAAGTATGGGATACGAGTCCTAAATTTTAAACTTAAGAGAAAAAAAATACTCCCAGTCATCCATTTTTTAGCTTTCATTTTTCCATTTGTTCTTTTTTTTATTTAATGGGAAAAGGATTCTCCCTGAATGGCAGGGGAAGGACAGCATTGGGCTCTCAAAGAAGGATTATCAGCAGTATCACAAAATTATAGATTTTAAATATCATGTATAGTCATCAATTTACACCAACTACTTTCCTCTGCTTCCTACATAACCATCATTTAAAAGAAAAGAAAATTAAACAAAAAAACTGGGCTTACAAAAATAATTTAACTTGAAAAGGAAATGTAAATATAGACTTATAAATACTTCCTTTAGGTTATAAAGTAAAATTAATGGTAATGAATGAATTAAAATTCACATTCCCAGAATGCTTTTCTCTTTGAATCTAGGAAGTAGGTCCAATGACATTAATCTACTATGGAGGAAAACTGAGAACAAATCTAAAGGATAATAAAATACTTTTGAAACAATCAATTTGTAGAACCATATTGCTATTTATGGTCATTTTCTGCATATCAATTAAGTAAATACCTTTTTTGTTGTTGTTGTTAATCCTCACCTGAAGATATTTTTTCCCATTGATTTTTAGAGAGTGGAATGGAGGTTTGGAGGGGGGAGAGAGAGAAGAGAAACATTAGATTTGATGTGAGACAGACACATAGGCTGGTTGCCTCCCAAGCCCCGCCCCTCCCCTGTGATAGGGGCCAGGACAAAACCAGCAACCCAGGTAGGTGCCCTTGACTAGGAATCAAATCTGTGATCCTTTGGTGCGAGGGCCGACAATCAAACCACTGAGCCACTCGGGCCAGAACAAGCACATGTTCCTTTCAATGCTGAAAAATAATATACCACCCCTTGGGAGTATCAACTTTTACAGAAATTTTTAAAAAGAAAATTTAAATACCTGTTTTAGTTTTTCATTCTCTTTCATGAATTTTCTGGCAGCCTCGTCAGTATTTTCTGCTTGAGTTTTAAGTATTCCTTTGTTTGACAGCTCTTTTGCCAGCTGAGTAATAAGGGTAACCAGACGCCTTAACACTCTAAGAAAATAGAATTTAAAATTTCAAAATAGTCATTGTCAAACAACTCTCCTTTAGGTATGGGTGTGGTGGAGAGAGATGATGGTTAGAGGACACATTTTTTAAAAATTCCAAGTCTTCTAGTCAAAATATGACTGTGTCTCATTCATTTAGAATCTTTGTTAGATTAGCATTTGAAAGATAGGTTCAATGGTACTTACTAATTTAATTATTTTCTCTGTAGAGCCCTCTAGCCAGGAGGAGCAGAAACAAAACTTCAAACAGTGTAGCAGGGCCAGTAAGAGAAGTCTTTTTTCCCCCTCCCAGTTCAAAATTTGCTATTTAAAGAGCACTGTCATAATAACAATCTGTATTACATACAACAGGTAGAGAATTACTATTCCAGGACTAACATTTCAAATGAGAATAATAAAGCTCCACGCATTTCGTTAAAAAAATAAATAAATAAAGAGCACTGTATGAGGCTGATCATGCCCCAAAACTGCTCTTTCATATATGTTTATGGTTAACTTCCACTGTTAGAGGTAGTAACTAATACCTTCAATTATTCACTCAATAAACACTTCCTCAGGAGCTGCTAAATGTTAAGCACTATTTTAGGCCCTGGGGACAGCAAGAAACAGGACAAAGTACCTGCTCTCAGAGTTTAGGTTCTAGTTGGAGGGCCAAGAGTTAAAACAGTACTTAGTTATAATCATGAATGATACCTGAAAGAAAAGTATATACACATTCTATGGGATTGTGGCGAAGAGGAGACCTACCTACTTTGGGAGGAATGATGTTCACAGAAGGCTTTCCTTAGAAAGAGACTAAAGGATGAAAAGTTAGTCAGGGAAACAGGGAAGAGAATAGTGTTATGGCAGAAGGAAAAACAGGAGTGAAGACCCTGAAGTAGGAAGGAGCTAGGTACATTATTAGTAACTCAATAAATATTCATTGCAAGAATGAATGAATGAACAGTGAAGGTCAGTGTGGGAGGAATGTGGAGCACACGTCAGAGAACAGTAGGAGACAAGGCTCTAGAGAGAAGCAGGGCCAGATCATGCAGGGCTTATTAACCTTTCAAACTGACAAGCAACAATTATCGCTTGTTATTTCTTTGGGTATATAACCTGAGTTCTTTTACGGAGATGTTAGTATACTAAATATTATAGAAAAAATCTATAGTACAGATTAAAAAACGAGAAGCATAAATTATGTTTTTAAATTGTGTGTATGTGTTTTACTTACAGCCAGAAAAATAATGAAAATCCAGAAATGTAAAGATTTCTTTGAGACCTAAAAAGTTTCATCTGGGTATGTTCATGGGCACCAGGTCTGCTGGCTGAGCTTTTTTCAATGACAGTAGTAGAGGAATATTTCCTTACTTCTCTCACAGCATCTATTAGAGAAAAAGAGAAAACATTACTTTTGGTTTTTAAGAATATAAAATTAGCCCTTGCCAGGGTGGTTCAGTTGTTGTCATGGGATAACACTCAGCTGAGTGTTGTCCCACCACCAAGAGATCACCAGTCAGGGCAGTTGCAGGCTCAATTCGCAGCATGAGGTGTGCAGGAGGCAGCTGATTGATGTTTCTCTCTCTCTCTCTCCCTTCTTCTCTCTCTAAAAAAATCAATAACATATTTTTAAAATAAGGGAATATAAAATTATAATTAAAATGGGAAGCAGTTTTAGAATAACTGACCTAACTTTTAAATAATGGACTTTAGGTAGGGGTGGTGTTTTGTCTTTTCCTCTACATACTTGGGAGGGTACCATGCTCAAAACAGATATCTGTACGTGGACACTAGTGGTAAACTTTGAATGTAATAGCATTTTTGTTTTTACTATTCATCCAGGACTCATCATCATTGTACTGTACTTACCTCTAGCTATACTGAAAACTATTATCCTTTACTCTTTCTATCCCTAATAGGACTAAATTTTAACCTATTGACAATAATATATAGGTGATATCCCACTATAATCAACTCTGAGAGACTATCTTACTTTTCTTACTCTACTAGCATTTTATTATATCTGTCCTTTTGTTGGTTTCCTCTGCTGTGCAGAAGCCTTTCAGTTTCATGCAGTCTCACTTATTGATTTTTGCTTTTGTTGCCTTTGCTCTTGGTGTCAAATACAAAAAATCATTGCCAAGACGCTCATCACCTATGCTTTCTTCTAGGAGTTTTATGGTTTTGGTTCTAAATTCAAGTCTTTAATCCATTTTGAGTTAATTTTTTTAAATTTCATTTTTCAATTACAGTTTACATTTAATATTATTTTAAGTAAATTTCAGGTGTACATTAAATTAATTTTTGTGTGATGTAAGATAGTGGTCCAGTTTTCCCAACACCATTTATTTAAGAGACTGTCCTTTTCCCATTGCGTATTTTTGGCTCTTTAGTCATAAATTAGTTGAACATATATGTGTAGGTTTATTTCTGGGCTCTCTATTCTGTTCCATTGATCTATGTGTCTGTTTTTATGCCAATGCCATACTGTTTTGATTATTACTACAGCTTTGTAATCAGGGAGCATGATGTCTCCAGCTTTTTATTTATTTGAGAGAGGGAGGAAGAGAGAGACAGAGAGAGAAACACAGATTTGTTGTTCCACTTATTTATGTATTCTTGTATGTGTCCTGACCAGGGACCAAACCTGCAGCCTTGGCGTACTGGGACGATGCTCTAACCAACTGAACTACCTATTCAGGGCTTTGATGGCTGTAGTTGTGTTCTTTCTCAAGATTGCTTTGGCTATTTGGGGTCTTTTGTGGTTCCATACAAATTTCAGGATTGTTTGTTCCATTTCTGTAAAAAATGTCATTGGGATTTTAATAGGGATTGTACTGAATTTGCCGGTTACTTTGGGTATTATGAACATTTTAACAATATTAATTTTACAATTTATGAGCACGGAATATCTTTCCATTTATTTATTCATTTTTTTTTTCATCAATGTCTTATAGTTCTCATTGTACAGGTCTATCACCTTTTTGGTTAAGTTTATTCCTAGGTATTTTATTCTTTTTGATGCAGCTATAAATGATTTTTTAAATTTCTCTTTCTGATAGTTCATTATTAGTGCACAGAAATATAAATTTCTGTATATTGATGTTGTATACAGCAATTTTACTGAATTCATTTATTAGTTCCAACCGATATTTTTGTGAAGTTGTGTTTTTTATATCTATATATAGATTCTATATCATGTCGTTTGCAATAGTGAGTTTTACTTCTTCCTTTCTAATTTTGGTGCCTTTTAATTATTTTTCTTGCTTAATTGCTCAGCTAGGACTTCCAATACTATGTTGAATAAAAATGGTAAGAGGGGGTATTCTTGTCTGGTTCCAGATCTTAGAGGAAAAGCTTTCAGCTTTTTATTGTTGAGTATGATGTTAGCTGGGGGCTTGTCATATACGGCCTTTACCATGTTAAGGTACATTCCCTCTATACCAACTGTGTTTAGAGTTTTTATCATAAATAGATGTTGAATATTTTCAAATACTTTTTCTGCATTTATTTAGTTGATCCTATAATTTTTATTGCTTACCTTTTTTAAAAAAATCATGAATATTTTTAAGGAAGAAACTAAGATCACTGATTTTAACCCCTTCTTTTTTTCTAATAAACATTCAAAGCTATAAATTTCCTCTAAACAGCACTTTATTGCTTAATTATCCTACAAATTTTGATACATTGTATTTCCATTATTTAGTTAAAATATTTTGTCTTCTGTCTTTGAGTACTTCTTTAACCCATGCATTATTGACAAGTGTCTTGTCTAATTTCCAAACATGTGGGGTTCTTCCAGATACATGTTATTGAGTTCTTTTTTTTTTACACACTCTGCATGATTTCAGTTCTTTTGTAATTTGTTGAGACTTATTTTTATGGCCAGAATAGAGTGTATCATGGTGAATGGAGTATAGTGTCTTCATGTGCCCTTGCCAAGAGTACCTATATTCTACAGCTGTTGGGAGAGACTTGATTTTTACACTTTTTAGGGCTAGTCTGCTTTGGTTTTAATTTTAGTTAAATTCTTACTTCCTGGGACACAATAAATTCTGTATTCCTAAAGAGCAGCCTTCTGTGATTTTAGCTGAAAGGTCCAAGGTCTTTACCATGGCCCTGTACCTAGATGGGACTTGAAACTCTAAATTCTGTTTCTCCTTGGTGGATAGCATCCAAAATTTCTGCTCAGCCCTTTCAGCTTTCTAGCTGCTGCTTTCCAGAGAGCCTCTTGGACTCTTCCAAGGATTTGAGGGGAATTTATATGCAGATTTTGGGATTCATTTTCTGAGACTTTCTCCTTTCTTGGATATTTCCCCTTAATTTCCAGCCTCTTTTACCTTTGACACCTTTAGCCAGTAAGACTGGCTTTCTGCTCTGAGTTCTATCTGACCTTGCCACATGGACTGAGAAATGCTATACAAATTTAATCACACACAGTGTGATTCCCTTTCAAGGTTTGAATTCCCTCCAGCTTCCATCTACTTTTGGTTGCTCTTCTATGCCTTCAAACACTGTTTTTCTTATTTTGTCCAGGGATTGTAACTGTTATCACAGGAGGATTAATCTAACATAAGCTATTTTGCCATTTGTCTTTTAAAAATTTATTGCTTTAGCCTTGGCTGGGTGCTCAGTTGGTTGTAGTGTCCTCGCCCTGTAGTCTTGTTCACCCGAAGGCTATGGGCTCAAGCCCCACTCAGGGTGGGCACAGGAGGCTACCCATCAATGCTTCCCTCTCATGGCGATGTTTCTCTCTTCCCCTTTCCCTTCCTCTCCCTTCTTTCCTCTCTAAATGAAAACAAATACTTGGGTGAGGACTAAAAAAAATAAGTAAAAAAAATATTATTTTAGAAAATTTAGTGAGGTGAATTCACATAACATAAAATTAACTATTTTAAGGTGAAAAATTCACTGGCATTCAGTATACCCACAATATTGTGCAACCACCATTTCTCAAAATAAAACCTAAATAAATCACTCCAAAAAAAAAATATGTAAAAAAAATTTTATGACTTTATATTTGTATTCTATTACTGAAATTCTTAGTTTCTAATAACAACATACTAATTTGCATTATGATGCAATATACATAAAATAGTTTTTAAATTACTAACAATGAAACTACGTGAAGTTTCATATTTCTTTGGACTTTTGTTTTTAGAATATTTAACGCCCCCTTCCCCCCAAAAAAAGAATATATCCCAGCAAGGAGGTAGAGTTAAGAGTATTATGCTCAAGAGTTACTTAAAACAACAATTCTTTTCTCTGTTGTATGTTACAATCCTATATAATATTCAGTTTATATATTATCATTTATTTTCAATTCTAGAGTTTGCTTTTTTCTAGCTTCATAAAATTTAGAGTTTTCTTTCTTAAATTCTGGAACCGTTTAAGCAGCATTGGTACTATCTGTTTTTTGAAAGTGGTAGTGGTAGAATTTCTTGCAAAATTATCTGGTTTTATAATTCTCTGAAGGGGATAGCTTTTTGATAACTTCCTATAATTCTATGAAAACTGGTCTTAAATTTTCTAGGTTCATTTGGTAGATTATATTTTTCTGCAAAACTACCCATTTCAATTAGGTTTTCAATTTGTTTGCATTGATGTATATGAAGTAGTTTTTAAATTATCTTTTTAAAATTTCCTTGGTTTTAATAGTTACTTCCCTTTTGTCATTTCTCAGATTGCCTCAATAATATAGTAAAAGCATTCCAACCACTACAATGTAATTAAAAACACAAACAAAATAACATTTATTAATTGTTCTGAACAGGCCAGAGGAACCAAATAGTACTATCAAGGGTCATGATATTGTGATTCAGCTTTCTTAGAAATTCAATGGGAATAATACTCGTGGTCCCTTACGTAGACATGCTGAAGATTAACCAATAATGTCAAAGAAGTTTTATAAATGTAAATGGTCATACAGAACCACCCATAGAATGAATCACCTGTATGATAACTAGGAGACTATGTCTAAAAAGTGGAATGGGGGCAACAATAAGGAGAGGGTGTGGCGTATAGTCAATTTTCTATAAAACATGTGGAGATAAGTCTTTTTTGGGCCACTTGTGGAAACTTTCAAATTCCCAGGATGCATATCTACTGACATTTAACATATTCCTGTGTTTCCTTCTTCCTTCCTGTCTATTCTCACAAAAACACACACAGATGCACATATACTTTTTTTTTTAAATCCTTACCTAAGGATATTTTTCCCATTGCTTTTCAGAGAGAGAGGAAGAGAGGGAGAAGGGAGGAAGGGGAGGGGAGAGAAAGAAAGAAACATCGATGTGTCTTGTGTTGCTCTCACATCAAATAGTTGCCTCCAACATGCACCCCGACTGGGGCTGGGGATTGAGCCTACAATGGAGGGCAACTGAGGTATGTGTCCCTGACTGGAATTGAACCCAAGACCCTTCAGTCCCAGGGCAGTGCTCTAGCCATGGAGCCAAACCGGCTAGGGCTGCAAATATACTTTTGGGTTGGTACTGGCTCTAGGAACATAAACACCTTGTAACAATTACCTTGTTGGAGACAAGCAAGAAGAAAATGAAATAAATTCTAAAGTAAAATATGAGTTAAGCTTGTTATAGCTTTGCATTAACTAAAACTAGTTATAGTTTTGCATCACCTAACCCACTGTCATTCTAGTAACAAGAACGATGGCCTTCACATATGTTATTGCATTTTAATCTTCCAATACCTCAGTGAAGTGAATGTTATTACCCTATCCTGAGACATAAATTCTGAGGCTTAAAGGGTAAGTTCCTATCTGCCTGCCTTCATCGTCCATGCTAAAGTTCCTGCACTAACCATCCATGGTTTCCCTATGCTCTGGGAATTACAGATGTAAGCTACAGCCAGCAGTCATGATTCTGCTTTGTGACTCCAACCTCTGGCGACAGCTTACTAGACGAGGGTTGAATATCTGGTGCCAATTGATCTGATTTTTTCCCCTTAGAATTGGAACTGGGATTCAGAAATGGCTAATTAATCTTTGCATATAGCTGGAGTGATAACACTTGGCAGCTGTGTGGTGGCCACTTTCTGCTTTGGGAATAGAGTGTGAGAATGCATGGAGATGAGAAAAAATGAAGTAGACCCAGGGAGAAATGCAAGGACACCAAAAGGACACTGCAGCTCCTATTAGTTCCTCCTTGGAATTTGGCTTTCTTCCTTTCCTGGGCTGCTCTGAAACAACCCCATATTTTATTATAAATTTCCCCTTCTTGTTCAAGTGAGTTCAAGTTGGTTTCTGATATAAGCATCCAAAAGAACTGTCATTAAAGGTCCCCTTCCTTAGATGGGTATGTGGCAGTTTTCAAAGATGATCTTCTCTCCCTTTACTTTGCAAAAAGATAAACCAAACTCAGAGAAAATGCCATTCTAAAGATTGTTTAGCTAGCTGATGGCAAAGTGGGACCTGTTTTCCTTATTCCTTACTCATTCAGTGTTATTACTTATATGGCTGGAGATTAAATCGGTAACATTAACAATAATGTACCATGAGACAGATATTGACATTTTTGAGTGAGGCAGAAACCCATTCACGCCCTGATACAATTAGCTACTCATACCCTCTAATACCAGCTGGTCCCAGTTTTATTAAGAGGATTCCATTTCAGAGGTTGATGTTATGGAACGTGGGAAACATTTTCTCACAAAATATTGGCATACATGGTTATTGTTCCAGGCTGGCCCTTATAAAACTTAACCTACAACACAATAGGTGAAGGAATTCTGAGGGAAAACATACTCTGCAGTGTGTATTAAAAGCTGAAGTGCCAGCCCTGGCCAGGTAGCTCAGTTGGTTAGAGTGTCACCCCAATGTGTCATGGTTGTGGCTTTGATCCTCGGTCAGGGCACATACAAGAAGCAATCAGTGAATGGATAAATAAGTGGAACAACAAATCAATGTTTCTCTTTCTCTCTCAAATCAATAAACAAAAATTAAAAAAAAAAAAAAAAGCTGAAGTGCCAAGTAATAGCTGGGTGATCAGACAAGTTACTTAATTCTCTAAGCTCAGCTACTTCTTCTAAAAAATATAATTATTTAGACTCATGGAATTTCTAGTTTGATAAGAATCTTAAGGGTTTATGTCTAATATCTAAGATACTGTTATCATGAAAATTTCAAACATGCTGAAAAACTGGTATAACAAATACCCATATTTCCATCGTCTAGATTCAATAATTGCTAACTTTTTCCCATATTTGCTTTACCTGTTTTAATTTTTACCCATTCGAAACTAAGTTGAAAATATGACACTTGTAATATTTTAGCCTGCAGCTCCTAAGAATAAGGACATATTCCTATAACAGGTGTTGGTAAACTTTTTCTGTAGATAGTGAATGTTTTTGGCCATACAATGTGTCTGCTGTCAAATGGAGACTCTGTAGTTGTCCATGGAAACAAGCATAGACAATACATAAACAAATGGGCATAGTTATGTTCTACTAAAACTTTAATTTCCAAAATTGGTATTTGGTCCAAAGGCTATAGGTTATTGATTTATGCTATATAACAACAGTGTTATCACAACTAAGGTTAACAAAAATTCCCTAATATTATCTAACAACCAGTCCATATTGAAATTTTTGAGGTAGTCCCCAAATGTCTGTGTTGCAGTTGATTTTTAACCAGGATCCAATCAAAATTCACAACCGGCATCTAAGACTCCTTTTGAGGGCCTAATGATTATATTCCTTTATGCCTCCCTGACATCTAAGCCTCTATTGCCTAGGATACCACAGTAACCAAGGGTTGTATAACTGGTATCTCTGAAAAGTGGACTACATATTGGTATATTTAAATCTTAAACAACTTAAAAGAGGTTAAGAACCACTGTACTCTGTTGAAATTTATGCTTCTGCATATGTAATAGTAATATCTATTAACTATCTATATATAAATATCAATATCTGCTCTATTATCAATAAACTGTACAAAGTCAACTGTATATTCATAGCAACACTGACTTAATTAAAAACCAATGAATTTATTAATAAAAACTAGAGTAAGTTTATTTAAAGGAAAAATCTAGTACTTACCTAGAAACAGAACAATCAATAGGACTATAATAGAAAGAAAAGCCTTGTTCCAAAAACTTGCAATTTTACCCCAGACATTAAATGAAAAAATCTTCTGCCATCTGTAAAGCAATACAATTACGTTAGGTATAAAAATATCATAGAGTGTTTTGAAATGTTTTCTGAACGCTGAATTGACATTTTTGTAACTATGTAGCAAGTGAAAAGAATAACAGAAATTTAATTTTTTATGTCATATTAGAGAATTATTAATTCATAAGAACATCTCATAAAACAAAGAACAACTTTTTCAAATTTAATAATAACCTGACATTTGATTATCTTCTGTCTGGTAGCTTAAATACTGTACAGAGAAAATAACTTAAAGGCAAGATACATAATTAAAATCTTAAAAAGAAATTCTTATAGTAAAATGTTATATTGTTGATAGAAGCTATCACTTTGTATCTCTTCCCTAATCAGGGCAGTAACTCAGAAATAACAAATATTGGTCCAACAACATTTGAGGAGTAGGGGGTCCAACTCTCTAAATTATTTATTTTTACATAGTAAAATTTTAACATTTACTTGAAGACTTTTTTTACTTTTACCAATTTTAAAAACCACTGAGGTATTACACATAGCAAAGTGCAACAATCTTAAATATATAGTTTGATGAATCTATACATACATACATATGTATATACCCATGCAGTTATCATGATCAAGATTTGAACATAGAGGAAATAAAATGAGGCAATAGTCTAGAATGGATGAATTAAAAGGTATAAACAGAGACACAGAGGTAAGGATGTATGGATTTTAAATGGCAAAGAGTGACAAAGTAACTCATCACACAATTGAAAAGGTAACAAACTTTGCACAAGGGCATTTAAAATGAACAACACATTTACTGAGTCCAAAGATACACACCCACACCCACACCCATATAATAAGTACTTAAATAAACTTCAAACACAACTTTTAGAAAGTTTTAAGATTAGGGAAAATTATTAGTAAGTTTTGGAAACAACTCTCAGTGATAACTTGAAGTTGGTGGGGTGAGGAAGGCTGACGTAAGGTAAAGTGGTTTCTTTTGTCTCTGAGTTTCCAATTCCAAGGACACTATTTAAATTTCACATTATAAAAACTTTATATTTTTAGAAAAAGAACGTAAGTGGCAATACCTTGACCAAGATCCAAATTTAAATTCGTATTTCAAGGGTCAGTGTAAAACAAAACACACACAAAAACCCCTACAGAGAACAACTAGCAGTTTATATTAACACTGAATTCAAGAGTTAATAATAGTTACCATATATTGAGTCCTTACTATACTATGGTACTAAGCATTTTTACATGTTTTAGCTAATTTTATCATCACAACCACTATATGAGGTGGATACCAGTATTACCTCCATTTTACAAATGGGAAACTGACCAGAGAGGGTAAATAACTTGCACAAGGTCACACAGTAACTTGTAGAGTTGGGATACACAGTCTGACCTTTGAGCGTGTGTCTAACCAGCGGGTTATTGAGAAAAGGATAGAGAGCCAAATGGAATAAAGACTAAAGCCTTTTTTTTGAAGATTATGGTGAGCCCTGGCCGGTGTGGCTCAGGTGGTTGGGCGTCGTCCAGGGCACGGAGTGGTTGTGGGTTTGATTTCCCATCAGGGCACATGCAGGAGGCAGCTAATGATGTGTTGCTCTCACATTGATGTTTCTCTCTCTCTCTCTAAAAATCAATAAAAATCTTTTAAAAAAAGATTATGGTGATACACATATAAAAGATAAAAAGATGGGGATATAGTAAGGATATATTATAAATGATATGTGCACAAATATACCATATTTTCTTGTATATAAAAGGTATATTTATATAATGTGCGTATATATACACACATCTATCAAATAGCTACTTGATTAGGGCAGGAAAAAAATTATATTTAGCAGGAAGAAAAAGATCCATAATTTTTGGATCATTTTGATGAGAAAAGAAACTGACAAAATTTTTTTGCAGCTAGTATTAGCAAAAAAGCTAAACAGGCTATTATTGAGGATTAGAAACTAAATCAAGGTGATGACAGGTAGGTAGGATGATGGAGTAGAAGGGCACTAGACTGAAAACTAGATTCTTGTCTGGAATCTTCCATGGATCAGCTCGGTGACCTTAGTGAGACCACTTTCCCTATAGAATGAATGAGTTAGATACAATTATCTCTAAGCCTTCTTCCAACAGTATGATTCAATTTTTTCTTTAGTAAGGAAGAAATAAGTGATGGTATCACTGACAGACATAGAAGTGAGTAGAAATCCAGGTTGGTAAGAAGCAAGTTAAGAACTGTGAAAGACTACCTTAACCCTGAGCCAAGGCAAAACTTTCGTAAGTCTCTTCCAGTCATGGGATCTTACTAAACTTCAGTGGGTAATCTCTAGGGTTTCATTTATGCAAGATTTTCTTTCATGACATGAGTATGAACAAATGTGTTGTAACATTATTACAAGGGTGAACACCATTCATACTAGCAAGTTTCTGGATCTAAAACTGAACTCCCAAAAAGTGGATTATCACAGGGGTAAAGTGAGCCAATGCTTCAATTAAAATACTCAGTACTTAAAGACCTTCTAAGGTCTTTTCCTAAGGAACTAATGCTAATGTATGACTCTGATACTTTTCATAATCAGCACTTTTAACATATATTCATCAATTGGGGGGTGGGGAGAGGTAGTAAATTACCATTAAACATTAATGAAACTATTTCTTAGTTACATAGGTCAAAACTAAGAATCATTTACAGGCTTAGGTTTCTAAATTGTCATTTCATTGCCCCAGTGAAACATTTCTGCACCCACGCTGTGCTGTGTCTACCTGCATTTGCGTTCACTGTTCCAATTCAGGGCAACAAAACAAAGGTAAAACCTGACGACATGACAGGTACTAAGAGCGTACCCTTTATTATATCTGTAATCAACAGAAACAAAAGGACTTGCCCTTTTCCTTTTAGGAGGTGGGAAAGTTAACTCATTTGTACATTTAACAAAAAGTTTCATATAGTGATATTTTAATAGTCATTATATATTACCTAATTTGTAAGCGAGCTTATTTTGAAGTGCACCTTTTATATAATCAGCACTGAAAACTTAAATCTTAAAACTTTTCCGCATCATACTAAAGAGCCTAAAGGAACTACTCATATTTATTATTATAATTTGGAGGTTTCCTACCTCTGAGGAGGAATAAAAGGTAGACAGAAGACTAAAATGAGTCCTATTTCAGCATAAAGAAAGGTTGCAACTGCCGTCCACTGGAGTGTCATTTTTTCCTCTTGACACCTAAATAGAGAATCACCTGCTTTACTTTGCGGCCTTACAAAGAAAATTGTGTTAATGGCGCGCGAGGCGCAAGGTTTTTGTTCAGGAGTAGAGGGTGCGACCCTCCCCTAACCGGGGCGGCCGGCGTTACAGCCGGGCGGCAGGGAAGGGGTTAAGACTGCGCCCGGAAGCCGGCCTCTCCACCTCCCCAGCGAGCCGCGCGCGGCGCGGCCGC